CCCCGCGCCTTGTACTTTCCCCCGCGCCCCGCACCCCCCTCGGAGCCCCATGGCTTAGAACCCGCCCGTAACCTCTACTAACCTCAAAACAGTAATAATTTTCTGAACGATTTTGTAAAGGAAGCTAAAAACTTAATAAATAATGGCGTAGAATTACACGGGAAAAGATATTCATTCAAAATTTCTGCTATAATTGCAGATGCTCCCGCGAGAGCATTTATAAAATGTTGTAAACCACATAATTCTTTTTATGCCTGTGAAAGGTGCACAGCGAAGGGTATATCAATAGGAAAAAATAGAGGTATTAAACGAGTTTATCCGGAAATGGATTGTGATACGCGAAGCAAAGAATCGTTTAAAAATCGAGAACAGCCACGACATCATAAAGGTGATGTAGATTCAATATTATTAAAATTACCAGATTTTGATATAATTAATTCTATTGTCATTGATTCCATGCACCTATTATATCTTGGTGTAATGAAAACTTTATTGGAAAAGTGGATAACAAAAAAGAGTGTTGCAAAACTTAAAAGACGTCAGATACGACATTTGAGGGACATAATGAATTCTATCAGTCCAGACATACCATGCGAGTTCCAACGTAAACAGTTTGATATCAATGTGATAGCTAAATGGAAAGCGACACAATTTAGATTCTTTTTATTATATTGCGGTTCAACAGTATTACATTACATAATATACTTCAAAACAATTTTTATAAGCATTTTTTGCTCTTATTTGTAGCTTGTCGTATTCTGAACAAACAAAATGTAACGTTGTCATATTGTAATTACGCAAAGAATTTATTGAGAAAATTTTTTTATTTACTACCATCTCTATATGGAGAACAGTCGCAAGTATTAAGTATGCATTATTTGATTCATTTAGCTGACGATGTTACAAATTTCAAAATGCCATTGAGCGAGTTGTCCGCGTTTTGGGGTGAAAGTTATATAAGTATTTTCAAAAAGCTTGTGAAATCACCTAAGAAACCTCTGGTACAAATTATTAATAGATTGTCCGAATTAGAGCCACGAAAAGACTTCCGAATAAAAAAGAAACAATACTAAGACAATTGCATTTTTCAAAGTTATAGCACATGTATTAATAAAGAGAAAGAATACATTGTTGTATCCAGCATCAAAGTAAATAATTTCGTATTGAAATGCGTCCCTCCTGACAATGTAATTCAATTGAGTAATAACAAGGTTCTTAAGATCGATGCAATTTTATTAAAAAAACAAGATACTGAAGATATATTCAAACTCGAAAACTTGTACGTATTAGGATATGCACTATCTGATCGACGCGAAAGTTTTAATTACCCAATTTCTTCGTAAAAGGTTGGAATTTGTGTAGGTGTGAAATTTTTGGAATCTAAAGAAATATTCCCCTTAAAAGATGTAAGCTATAAATGTATTTCATTAAATATCAATAATAATCATTACGTAATATCTTTATTGCATACATGTAATATGTAATATATGTACCGATGTAATATTACTATACTTTCTCCGTATGTATATATACACAATATGTGCACGCGCGCGCGCGCACACGCACGCACGCGCACACACACACACACACACACACACACACACATCATGCTCCTAATATATTTTCCACATATGTATTATATTTGTTAAATTAAACTAACAATTGTTCTTTTGCACAGCATGTTTTCGAATCATCTTATTACGAGTACATTATGCCGCATTGATAACTGCATGTACATTGCGTACATGCAATTGTTAATGCGGCATAATGTACTCCTCTTAATAACAGGAAGTAATAGCAGGACGATCTGCCCTGCTGCAAATTAAACTGAGAGAAAATGGACTTATC